CAGTGAAAGAATGCACCATCCAGCCCTAGTTGGTGTGGCTCAGTGGATTGAGTGCCAGCCTGCAAATGAAAAGAATGCACTGTCCATACGTAATAACAGCTGGAACCAGGCCTCAGCCCCTGGCCTTGTGGGCATGGTGACTTGCTGTTTTTGCTGTGGGTGTGAGGGTCCCACAGATGCCAGTGGGAAGCTACCTCTGCTCCTGGGCTCCCCACTTTCCCAGCATGCAGAGAGCTCTTTGTCTGTTAAGAGCAATGAAGGGATCCCTGTAGAATAGTTTGCTACAGGAGCGCCCTCCACAGGCTGAAGAGCCAAGAAAGCACACTGGGGACACCCAGGGCTCAGGGGTAAGGCTTTGGAGTTATAGAGATCTGCTGTCTAACCTTGGCTTAGACATTGGGCAAGTCATGAGCCTCAGTTTCCTTGCTTATAAAATAGGAACTAATTATGGTACCCACCCCTTCAGTATTTTGTGACAGTTAATAAATGTAATGTATATAAATCACTTAGCACAGTGCTTGGACTATCTTAACTATTCGAGAAATGCACGTTTATCCCACGCCCCTAAAAGGCTAAGTAGGCAATTGGACCCTTTGTGTTTTTGAGGTAACTCAAAAATTCTGGGTTCAGAGACTTCCATCCTGGATGCTGAGTCCTTGAGTGGGTTTTCTGCTTTCAAAAAGTCCAGCAGGATTCACATGGCCTCTTGACAAGGGTGCCTTCACTGAACAATCTCTGCCTTTGGCTGAAATTCCAGCAGTCCCATGGGCCTCGTTGACCCTGTTCTGATTACCCTTAGATTAATGACAAACAGGGCATATGAATTATTCCTTTAAAAGTACAGTTTATGTGGGAGATATAAATCTTTCCAACCTGGTTGAGGAGGAGGGAAGAGGACAACTAATAAGGGGGTGTCCTCTGAGGGAAGCCATGGAGACCAGGGGAGCTGGTGCCACAGGGCAGAGGCTGCCCTTGCGGAGACCCAGTGTGGGGACAGTGGTGTGGGCGGCAGCAGGCCCTGCTGGCTCAGGGTGAGCTGTGGCCGATGGCAGGAGGCCCAGACCACCCACCAGAAAGAGGCCCTGGGGCTGAGTGGCCCCAGGCCCTGGCGGGGGTAGCCTTGACCCACAGCCTTGGGGATAGAGCTTGGGGACAAGTGATAATGAGAATGTCTGAACCCTCTCAGTCCCTAAATCCCCAACCCAGGCTGGCTCTAGGGACAAACCCTCCCTAGAGCCCCCATTCCCTGGGGCGCCAGACATCTCCCCCTAACCAGCCCCGTCTTCCCAGCTGCTCGCTCTACTAGGCTGCCTGCACGGTATGTGCCTGCGACCAAGACACTGTGTCTCTTCCATCAGAGCTGCAAACAGAACTTCCTGAAACCTGGAGGGGCCAGGTGGCAAGGTGAAAGTGACTGGTTTTCAAGAGGTGAGAGGGCAGAAGGTCCCAAGCCAGAGTCACAGTCACAGAACAGCCTGCAGGGCCTACATTTGGGGAGCTCTGAACTCGGGTCAGGTGGATTCTGGAGTCATAGGTGTCGACGCTGGGAATGCCCCTCACAGTCAGTGGGAAGATAGGAAAATTTCCAGGGAAGGGACTGGACTTGCCCAAGGCCAACAGCATGAACAGCAAACCTTTGTTGTTCTTACTGCACCAGCCACCTGCTCTAGTCCATGCCTGCCCTGGGGGACAACACCACCAGGACATTTAATCGGCACTCCTGTGCTGGACAGCTGCACAATGGACCCACAGTCATCTCAGTGCAGTTGTGGTGGAGGTTGCTTTGGAGTGCGCAGGAGGGTGGCCCAGCCCCTTCCTGGTGCCCTGGTCCATCCTGGAAGCCCTTCCCAAAGGCACCCAGAGTCTCAGGCTCAGCTTGGACCCCTGAGAGAGCTTCAGTGCTGTGCAGGAAAGAATTAGTAGCCAGGGGAACATGCCTGGCCCCATTATTGTCTTGAAGACGTTGCTCCTCCTCTTAGACCACACTTATCTCATCCAGAAAGTAGGAGTGATGACTGGACAGGATTTTCAGGGAGCAGTTGCAAGCTCAGTGTCTCACCCAGGAATATACCTCAAGTGTCCTCTTCTGCCAGCCTGCCCTCCCCATAACTCTCTCCCTCTTGGGTTGAGCTGGCACCAAGCAGAAGCGGAGCAAATTACTTTGTGTACAAAACTATTCCCTCCAAATCCTGATGGTGACCTTCAGGAAATCCCCGACCCATGACCTGCAGCCTTTACTAGCTCAGAGAGGTAGCAGGGCCAGGTCAGGTTGGGGAGTGCAGCAGGGCGGCTGGCGGAGGCGAGTGCAGTGCGGTGGAGGGGGCAGGGCAGGCAGCCAGGCCAGCCAGGAGGGGCAGAGGTGAAGGCCAGGGCCCACACTAAGGGCCCTTAGGAGTTGGGACTGGCTATTTTTAACTCAACTTCATTTTCTCTACCTGGAACCCAACCCTTGCACGTGGGGCAGCACTGTTCCCAGAATGCTTCACCCCTAAGACCTGGGCTCGCTCAGGTTCCCCAGCTGGGCCTCTCCGTTTCACAGGAGCCCTGTTTGCCCAGCTGGAGCTGAGGGTAGGGAAGGAGGGAAACCGGAGCCGGCACAGCTCCCTGCGCAGACCCTGCCAGGCCCGGCGGCGCGGCCCTGCCTGCCCTGTCGTCATCCTCCTTTCACACCGGAGAGGGATCCTGTCTCCTGGTCTATTTAATTCTTCTATTATATTTCCCAGACTCAGAGCCTCTGGTTCCCTATTGTCTTGAGCAGGCACTTTGCATTTGTGTAAAGATTAGACACGTTAGAGCTTTCGCTCTCACTCCCTGATGGTTTTCCTCTTTCCCTTACTCAAGTCTGAGTTCTTTCTTTCTGGCTACGCTCTGCTTCCTTGTCCTCCCTCTCTCACTGCTTGTCTTCCTCCCCACTCTGACCCACTCCTTCTCCCCGATGATCTGTTTTGCTTCTTTCTTCTCTTCATAGTTCAGCAGTTTGAATTCTCTATCCTCCTCCTACCCCCCGACCCTAACCCTGCTTTATTCTGTATTTATATTCTCTTGGAGGCTAATAGAAATGACTGAGAGTATTGCTCACCTCATTCCAGAAATACTCTTCTAAATTCTTCGAGAGGCACTGTGCGGAAGGGTGGGGGAGAAGGGGAAGGCAGTAAGCACTACATGGGGAGTCACTGGTTTGCCTAGACGGAGATCCGAGTTCCAGAGCCGGCTGTGCACCTACCAGCTGGGTGACCTTGGCCGGGCTCCATTTCCTCCTGGGCTGTAGTGGAGTTGATAGCCAGAAGATAGCAGCTGCCTCCTGGGGTTGTGATGGAGAGGAAATGAAAGTGTTCTGAGCACACAGTAGGTGCCCAGGAATGTTTGTTTGTTCCTGTTTTCACTGCACCTTGACCCAGCAGATAAGTCTCTTCCTCCTTCTTCCCATTCTGCTCTGCTCTACGAAGATCGCATGCACATGCAACAGACATGTGCACGTGTGCATGCTCGGACACACTCCATGAAAGAGCAAGGTTGACCGTTACTTTGTAGTCACCTATTTCCCCCTTCATAAACATCTAATGATGAAAGTTTAGTTCCTGAGCATGAGAACTAAAAATTGGGCAGCCCGGTCCCTGCAGACCTAGTATCCCCAGTTCAAGGCCAGCAGGCATTTACTCGTCCGTGCCCCCTGCCTCCACGTGCACTCACTCAGAGGGCTGCTACTGTGTGTGCAGGGCAGGCTCCAGGCCCCGCCTCCTCTGGAGCTCTGGACATCGCAATTGTTGGGGAGATAAACTCTGTGTCATGAGTCAGACAGGCATGAGAGCCTGGGCTCTGAGAATTCCAAGAAATTAGAGCTTATCCTATTGTGCCTAAAGACAGCGTGCCTGGGAAGACACTGAAAGAGGTGGACCTTGAGCCAGCCTAGGTAGGGACAGAGGGCAATGCCAGTTCCACGAGCTGCCCATCTCAGCACCGCGCATTCCCGGGCTTGTCTCCAGCGAGGCCCAGCTTCGGAGCCAGCAGATGGGCTGGAACGGAGTGTTAGCCCTCAGGGAGCACTCCCACCCCCTGGCCTGGCCTTTTTTGCAGAAAGTAACCACTGAGGTGCGCCAAGACATCCTGTCATGTCCAAGACAAGAGACCTTTCAAGAGGTACTTTGGATGTGTGCCCAAAGGGCATCTTTCTGGAAAGGACTCTGAAGCCTCCTTCTTAATCTCAATGGAGCCTGTGAGCCAACATATTAAGAACTTGCCCCTCCTATTTTGACTTTGTTTTGCAAACGAGTCAACTGAGGCCTGGGAAGAACATCCTTGGCCATGGCTGCATAGGTAAAAAGGTTTTGGAAGGGACCAGAACCCTTGCTCTCAGGCCCCAGGGAGGGAGGAGGGGTAAGGGGCACTTTGTGTGAGGTAGAGATGAGGCAGCTCCAGGCTGGTTGGAGGTCAGGGGTAGGCTGTGTCCTTCACTGAGGGGAACAGGCCCAGAGAGGGCTCTGACTTGCCCAAGGCCACACAGCCATAAGCAGGCCTGTCACCTGCTAAACCTTAGAAGGGGTGCCCTCAGCTCCGCAGCCTGTAGGCAGGCAGGACAGCAGGGTGTCTCCAGGGAGAGGGAAGGTTTTCCTCAGGCTCCCCTTGCAAACTCTTAGCTTTGGGCAAGGCTCAGGGAGCAGCCATGGGGGGCATGGAGGAGGAGCTCTTGGGCATTTTGGGGGAGGTTTTGAGGAAGTCCCTAGGGACTGGGAGGAGTCCTTGGGGCTTGAGGGGGAAATTCAGTACTCAGGAGTTGCTCTGAGCAGAGAGGGAGGAGCTGGGCCTTTCCTCCCCCACTTCACCCTCCCCTGTCCCTTCCACCCCCCCTCCCCATGGCAGGCTGTGGAGGCTGGGACGGGCTAGACGCCCCAGGAGGAGGCGGTGTCCCTGGCTCTGAGCCCGCCGGTGCAGTGCAGCAGGGCTGGACCGCAGGGGCGGGGAAGTGCCTGGTAGTTATAAGAAGCAGCCAGGGCACCGAGGCAATGAGCTATCGGCTCAGCTCCGCTCAGCAGCAGGACGCGGGCAACAGGCGCTCCCTGCTCCAGTCCAGCTCGGTGCTCCGCCGCCGCTATGGTTGCTGTGCCCACTGCCTGGTGCTCCGTCGCTCTGGCCCTTCTCGTGGCCCTGCACGAAGGTGAGCCATCCGGCCTCGCCTGCTGCAGCAGCCCCCTGATCTGTTCAGCGGTGTCTCCCCCTGGGGACCGCGGTGCCTCACAAGCCAGCTGGGGCATACAAGGCGGGAGCCCAGCGGCAGCGGCAGGGGGCTCTGCCAGCACAGAGGTGCTGCTAGCGCAGGGCAGCCGCTGGCCCTTCCCGCCTGGCTGCCGAGGCAGCCCCGGGCTGGTCTGGAGCTCCTGAGCAGTGAGAGTACCGACTTCCTCGATTATGCAAGAGGAGGAGCCTGGCAGGTCCCCGTATTCCAGCTGTGCCCAGCGTCCTGACCCACCTCTCCACCTCTCTCTCCCTCCTGTGCGTGCAGGCAAAGGCCAGGCCGCTGCCACCCAGGAGCAGCCAATGCCCACACCCCGTGCCCGAGGCTCCCACCTGCGGCCTCGACGTTGCTCCTGCAGCTCCTGGCTTGACAAGGAGTGCGTCTACTTCTGCCACCTGGACATCATCTGGGTGAACACTCCTGGGTGAGCTACCATGGGGATTCAGGCAGGGCTGCTAGGAGTGGGGGCAGGGGCAGGGGGCTACTGGCATGCTGGGGAACCTCAGGCATAATATGGCTCTCCCTGCCCTTCCAGATGGGAGCGCTGGGCTAATGTCCATAGTTAGCAATGACTGTTTCAGCGTGCAGGTAGAGGCTGCCTGAGCAATATAGAGGGCTGTCTCCTGAGAATTCTCACAACAGCCTGGTAAGAAAGTGTTGGCCGCACTTTCCAGATCAGGGTACTGAGGCTCAGAGAGGTTAGGTGCCCTCTCAAGATCACACGGGAAGGAGTAAGTGGTAGGTGGAAGCTCCATCGTAGGTCCGGTGGATAACAGAGCTCACGCCCGCTCTGCTGTGCCACCTCAGCATGATCTTCTAAGTAAAATACAATTAATGACAGCGCCCATGTCTCAACTGTGCCAGGCCCTATGCCAAGCACGGCTCGTGCATGATCATCTCATGAACCCTCCATCCTCCCCTGAGGCAGGTACGGCTGTTGTCCCCAAATGACAGATGAGAAACCTGCCCTTTGTCACCTGGTGGAGCCAGGGTGGGGGCCTGTGCTGTCTGTTCTGTCTGCACCCGCACTGCCTCCGGGCCACTGCATACTTCAAGTTGAAGTTTCTGTGTGCACTTGTGTTTTTTTTCTCATCCCCAAATTGCAAAAGACAAGAGAAGCCCAGCACGTAAGCGTGTGTGGAGCTAATCCGCATCCAAACACTCGCTCAGGGTGGGAACCCTGCCAGTCCCTGCCTGTCGGGTCTACCTGGAGTCATTACAGCTCCAACCACACCAGCTAAAATTAGCTCTGGCACCTGAAGGTGCTGGTCCAACCGGCCACAGGGCCCCTGCCCTGCCCTCGGCTCGCCTTGGCGAGGCTCTGATCTGAAATCGGTCCCGCCTGATCCCACACGCATGCATGCACATGCACATTCACCATTTTTAAGTCAAAGCTCTAAAACATATATGTCACCCCTCTAGGCAAGTGGGGACCAGGTAGGGGCAGCTTAGTTGTGAGCCTGTGTGTTTACTCTGTGAGGTGGTATTTCCTCCCTCCTCCAGGACAAGCTGTGGGGACAGCCTGGTTCCATCAGCTCAAACTCCTGTCTGGGGTTTGGGCTGGGGCGGGGTGGGGCTGGGAGGATTCCCATGGGGTGGGGTGGGTGGGAGCAGAAGCCCAGAAAGAGGAAGGGTCTCGGGTCTTGTCCAGGATTACCGGGCATCTAGGTAGGAGCTTGTAGTGGGACTTCTTGAGGTCGGGGGCTGGTCACCTTTTGCTGCCACCCTGGTGGCATGTGTGGCCACTCTAGTGTGCAATGTGGACAGTCCCTTTTTGCCAACGGTGGTGATTTATCTAATCCTCTCCCTCTCCTCCCTCTCTCCCTCTTTTCCTCTCTCTCTCCCCGCCAACCCCCGCCTCTCTCCACCCTACATCACTACCTTGCTGGCTGCCTGCCCACAGACAGACAGCTCCTTACGGCCTGGGAAACCCGCCAAGACGCCGGCGCCACTCTCTGCCAGGGCGCTGCGAATGTTCCAGTGCCAGAGATCCTGCCTGTGCCACCTTCTGCCATCGAAGGCCCTGGTAAGTGGGCACCCAGCCTGCGGGGGCCATAGGTGGCTGCCAGCCGGGACCTGCCCTGGACAGCAGGTTGTCCGAGAGGCCAGCAGGAGAGCAGAGGAGAGAATGGGGAGATGAGAAGCAGGATCCTAGGGGCACATAGGCACTGTCCCATGTCCACTGCAGAGAACCCGTCACCCCAGAGTCCCTGCCACTGCCCAGCTCTGGGAGCTTCTGAGAGCACTGTCTCACTCCTGAGCAGGAGAGTCTCCCCAGGTAGCAGCTGAGGAATCCCAGGCCCAAAAAGGGGACAGGGCCTGTCCCGTCAGGCCACATGCGGGTCAGAAGGAGAGCTGGGCTTCAGGCCTGACCCGTCTGCCCCAGTCCATGGGGTTTCGCGTTCAGCCCTGAGGTGCAGGGCGCTTCCCGCTTCCTCAGCGGAGGAGTAATGCCTGGAACTGGGAGGCCATGGCCCCACTTCGGGGCCATCACAGAGTTGTTGGGGGGGCCTCTACCATTCTCTTAACTCTTTGGGCCCCAGCTTTCCCATTTGCAAAAAGGTGGGAAATGTGGTTCTTTCCCTCCGCCACTTGGGGCATTTGGGGAAAGCAGAAAAGCTGGCCTCGCAATCCCGGCCTCCAGTCCCATGGTTGTTTACCAGAAAACTAGTCCTCTGAGACTCTAGCTGTGGCCCTACCCCTGCCTCAGTTTCCCCTGCAAAGGGCCATATCAGCTGTAGGTGGCCACATTTGGAGTAGGCTGGCCACCCAGTGATGTCTTTCTGAAGCTAAGAACACTTTCCTGGTAGCTTAGTTTTCCCCACCCCGCCTGGGGAAGGAAGGATGCCAGGTGCACAGGGGAGGAAATGGATCTGTTCCTGAGGGCAGGTGGGGGCAGGGTGGGGGCCGGGCTGGGCCTGCAGCCAGGTGGCCTCGGGGCCCTGGACAGCCCCTCACTTGGGCTCTGATGCTCTTCATTCAGGGCTGAAACCGAGGCAACCCCAGGCACTGGGTCCTCCGCAGACATGTTCCAGGCCGGCAAGATGCGGACCACTGCAGGCGAGCTCCTGCGGCGGCTGAGGTAAGGGGCGCCTGCACCAACTGAGTGCATCCTGCGTGCCTTGCACACGTCCCCATCTTTCTGTTGTCCTCTCTGAGAGGCAGGGCTATGTCCCCCAGGGGCAGTTAAGAGAACTGAGGCTCAGAGAAGTGAAGGTACTTTTCTAAGGTCACACAGCAGGCTGGCATCGCATCTGGCTGACTCCAGAGTCTGTGCTCTTAACCACTTTGCTCTTTGTTACCACCAGACCTGGAAGTAGACTTTTTAGAGGGTTTAAAGGTTCTTGCCTCTGGATGGACCACAGGTGTTCGTTCAGGCTGTGTCTGAATCAAGCATCTCCCATATGCTGGGGTCCAGAGGGGCCGCCCGCCCAGCCTGCTCCCTCCTTCTACCCCAGACTGGATCCCTTGGCGGTGAACGCAGCATGGCTCTGCTCAAGGGTCGGCGCACAGGAGGAATGTTTGTCCGACCAAACTGTCTTGAGAACTGAAACCCCATATCTGGCCAAGCAGCAGTGTGGCTAAGGGGCAGCTCCTGAGCCAGGATGTCCTGACTTGAACCCAATTCCCACCTCAAATAAACTTTGTGAACTTGGGCTTGTCACTTAACTTCTCTGTGCTTTAAGTTCCTATTTTGAAGAACACTGCCCATGCCGTGGGGTTGATGTGAGATCAGACTATGTGACGTAATGAAGCACCTCACGCAGGGCCTGGCCCACAGTGGGAGCTCTGGGGGTGTTAGCCACTCCTGGCTGGCTCCTTGGAGTCAGCCAGCGCCAGAGCCCAGCTTGGCTCCTTGGGGGTTTCCATCTTTGCGGGGAGACAGAAACATAGGGGAAAAGGCCAGATGATGAGGCAGGCAGGGCCTAGCATGTACTCAGGAACTGTCTTAGGGTGGAAAACCTCAAGATAAGACTTCGCCGGAGTGTGGCCCTCTACAGCAGGTGGACAGCTCGCCTAGCCCACCTGCACTCCCCCTTCCAACAGCTCAGGGCCATTTTTATCTTACAGACCCAGAAAGGGGCTCAGGGAGGTTGAGACCCTTGCCCAGGTTCCCACAGCTGGCACTGAAGCCAGCCTCCTGGCTTCCCGGCTGGAACACTTTGAGCCAGGACGAGGATGAGACAAGTCCCCGCGGGGGTCTCAGCCAGGTTCAAAGGGCAGCCAGGACCCTTATTTGTCTGGACCCATATAAGTTGGAACTTGAAAAATGGGAATTGTAGTGGGTGGAGTTCGGGTGAGGGGAAGGTGAACAGCCTGGAAGGAAGGGCATGAGCAAAGGTGTGGAAGTGGGAAGGCAGGTCCTGGGAAATAAACGCTGGGCTGTTCTTGGCTGTCCGGTCATTCCGGCAGCATTTGATGTTAACATCAGCTTTGTCCAAGCCCCTGTGGGCAAAGAAGCTTCTAGGCCTCATCTGGCCTGTCATTGTTGGGCAGATCTTGTTTTCATGGTCAGTGGCCACCTTCTGACCCCAGGGCAGCTGTGATTAAGGAGTGTCATCCCTATTACTGCTGCCTGTCACAGAGAACTCTTGGGCGGTCCATCCCTCCTGAGACGCTAAATTGACCCTTCTTGCTTCCAGGGACATTTCTTCTGCCAAGATCCGCTTCGCTAGGCAACAGCAGGAGGCAATGAGACAGACCAGGCCTACATACTCCTGGCGGAGGAAGAGATAGTGTCAAGAGCTGGAGAAACTCTGGGACGAAAGTCTGTGTGGAGATGGTGGAGACGGGCCGCCCAGGGCAGGGAGACTCTCCCCCTGTTTCCTGGACCAGGGAAGCCCACCTGCTGGGACTGGCACAAACCCTGGCCTCCTCGCCTAGCGAGGGATCCTCCCTCAAGGCGGCTCCGAGATGCTGCCCTGCCCAGGAAAGCCTTCAGCTCCCAGGCTGCAGAGCGGCCGCTCGCCCTGGCTCTGGTCCCACATCCTTGCTGAAAAGAACCAGCCCGGAGGCTGCGTCCTGCGAGGGGTCCTGCCTGCTGGCTGCAAACAAGGAGCGCCGCGCAATGATGAACGCTCACACCTACGCAGCCCCGAAGGCTGGACGGGTCTGCCCAGGGGCTGGTGTCCTGGACGCCCTCATCTGTCCCCGCCCAGCACTCCCTCCCCAGAGTCCTTGCACCCTCATACCCTGGGGACATCCCTGGTGAGAAGGTCCTATTCTGCTTTACCTGTCTGTATATAACTTATTTGCTCTAAGAACTTTGAGAATTCCAATTATTTATTGTAATGTATTTTTTTAGACTCTCAATTATTTGCCTGCAAACTTGTGTTTGTAATAAACAGTAAAATGCTGCTCTGGTATTTCGTCTTGGCTGAGGCAGGGGTGGGAGGCACCTCTTGTGAAGGAGCTACTTGGAAGTTAGGGGGACACAGGAAAGGGGAGGAAAAGGCCTGGAGCAGGTGGCCAGGGCCCTGGGTTCCACTCCTTGTGCCCTTGCCGGGCATTTCTGGCTGTTAACCCACCCTCTCTGGGATTTTGCCTATCATGTGCCCGGACCACCATTTGTAGATTGGACATCCAGGACTCCAGGACCTACGTCCCCCTCAGACCAGGAACCCGTGGCCAGGCTTTTCCCAAGAGCAGGTTTGGCAGGAGCCAAGGCCCGGTTCTGCTCCAGCCGCCTGGTGCTACCAAGGGCTGTGCTGGGAGGCCCAGAGCAAAGATGCCCAGCGGAGGCCACAGCGGGGTGCATTCCAAGCCTGCGCGCAGCCCTGGAAGCCAGTGATGGGCGCTGTGGTGGGACCACGGCCTGGCCCTGGCCTTGTCCCTCACCTTGGGCCTTGGCAGCAATCCTGCTAAGGATGGGGCAATACTCCTCTGACTGAAGAAGACTGAGGCTCTGAGACTGAATTGGCCAGTCCCACCAAGGCCCAAGAAGCAGCCCACCTGAGTCCCTGGGACAGCCAGCAAGGAGGGCCACCCTGCGCACAGCCACCTGGATGCACGGCCTCCATCTCTGCCAAACCCCCCTGGGAGCAGGCGGTCCCCTTTCCTCCTGGCTGACCTGTGCAAGAAGTGGCAGGTCGGAGCCTGAGCCAGCAAATGAAAAATAATTATTTATATACTGCTCTAATCCTGCCTTGTCCAGGAAGCCATCCCTGACCCCTAATGGAAGAATAACATGTTGACACATACTGAACTCCTACAGTATGCTGGCACTTTATCCAGAGTAACTCATTTCATCCTCACAACATATAGCACACAGGTACTTTTATGATTCCCACTTTATAGATGAGGAACCTGGTGCACAGAGAAGGCAGCTGACTTGCCTAAGGTCACACAGCAAGTAAGTGGTGGCATCAGGATTTGAACCCAGAGTCTGCAGTACAAATGCATGTATGTATTTAACACATGTTTATTGATTGAATTTGTGGATCACCATTGCACGTGACCTTGAACAAATCTCTTTCTGAGCCTCAGTTTTCTTTTTTTAATCCGTAAAATGGGAAACAATAGTCCCTACCTTGAAGGGCTGATATGAACACTAAATGGATAAGTTTTGGTGCTGGGCTCAGCCGCAGGCCTAATAAGAGGCAGAGGCTGTTTGTCAGGCCATCAGTCACCGGGTCAGGTGCAGAGTCAAAGGACCTGAGAGCAGAGAGGGACTGGGTGGGCTGGCTGGGTGGAGTGGAACGGCCGGACAAAGTCTCCCAGACAAAGGCTACGCCCACAGCCTCCAAAGATGAGTTAGACTAAAATAAACAGAAAAAAAAAAGTCAGAAGGGAACTCCAGAGGGAGGGACCAGGAAGGGGAAGGTATGGGAGTGAGAGTGACAAACGAGGTTCCCACAGAGGACCCCCTGTGACGTGAGCATGGTGATGGGGGCGGGGGGCCAGGCAGGCAGCAGGAGTGAAGCCAGAGAGGCCTCGAGGACCTGCCCCTGTGGGTCATGGGAGCACAGGGCACCTGGTGAGAGCTGGGCTTTGGAAATAGGCCACCAGGGGGTTACAAGGGGCCAGAGGGAATGAGGGGACAGGAGGCAAGGAAGCAAGTTCACGACCAGCCCCTAGGTGTCCACGGTCCGTTCTGGAGGGTGAGGGCTGTCGCCCTGGGGCCAGCCCGGTCACTCCCTGCCACGGCCCCGGGGCCAGAGCACTCCGCTCCGACCTCAGCTGAGCTTGGTGCCAGGGGAACCTCGCTGCCTGGCAGCCCGGCAGCCCATTCAAAATGCCCCTGCTCCCACTGGAAGCCCAAAATAACAGCCAGTGGCCAGGAGGGCAGCCGAGTGGGGCAATGCCAGGACGGCAGGTGCGACGGGAGCCTCGCCGAGGGATGACGACGGCCCGGCGGAGGGCGTGTTGGAGGCCCCGGGAAGCACGCATTCCCTGCCCTTGGCTCAGGCCCGGTGGCTCTGGCCAGGGTTCAAAGAGCAGTGACCTAAATGATTAAGTAACAGAGATGATTAAAGGGAGGAGAAGAGGCCCCAGAAGCAGGTAAAGGCAAGGTGACGGTGCAGTCCCCTGGAAGCGGGGGCCTCTGCAGGGGGCCTGAGCTGTAGGGGATCCCGCTCTGCCCTTCCAGGGCCGAGGGGCCACGGGCACCCAATGTCTAGACCACATCCCAGGCAGCTGAGGCCTGGAAGTGTGGGGGAGGTGAGCAGAGTTCGGAAGAAACAGAAAATTTGTGAGGAGCAGCTGCCAAGTGGAAGGGAACCCTGGGAGAAAAGGTGTCAACATTTTAGGAGGCTTGTTTGGATTTTGTGGGACAAAGCCTCCCCTTTTCCTGAATTTCCCATAAATATTTAACAGGTTTTATCAAGGCTTTTTGAGTCAAATTTGCATTCCTTTTGATGGGAACACCAGGCAAAGATAGGCCAGAAGGGGGCACAGAGTGACCCAGGTTTATTGGGGTTCCATGCACAGGTGAAAGCTGAGGGAGACGGGAGTTCGGTCCCATGTCCAGGGCTCCCAGATCTGGGACCGGCCCAGGCTGCAAGTGGGCCCTTTCCCTCCCCGGCGGCCTCTGTCCCCAACCCCTCACTCAGGAAAGAACCTCAAGGAATTACGGATTCCTTGTAAAAATCCTGGATTTTCAATTCAGAAAAGTCATCTGCCTATCTGGGTAATAAATCACTAGAATGTGGCCATCCGTCCATTCAACAATTACAAATATCATCTCTCTGGAGATTCTTGTGAGCAAGACAGACACAGCCCCTGCCCCCTCAGGTCAAGAGGAGAACCCTTCAAGAAGACAGTGTTAAATAGTAAGATTAAAATAATAGCTAACATTTGTGGAGCGCTCACTAAATGCCTTCTGCATGTGAACCCTCTGGTCCCTCACAGCAGCCTCCTGCAGCAGGTTCTATCATTATGATTCCTGTTTTAGAGAGGAAGTAAGAAGAGGTTAACGTCACACAGCCAGTATGTCATTGAGGTGGGATCTAAGCCTCAGACTCTAAACTTATCAGCTGTTCTCTCTCATAGGGTCCGTCGACCCTATGACAGAGCTCCTGGGCTGGGGGAGCCCAGGGCGGCTTCCTGAAGGAGGTAACATCTACACCAAGCTCGAGGGAACCAGTCAAGGGAAGGAGGAAGTGGACAAGAGTGTTCCTGGCAGAGGGAACGGCAGAGGTGAAGGGAGCTGCTCTCATCCCCTTTCTGGGAGCAAAAGCAGGAAGAGGCAGGGAGAAGGCTAGAGGGGGCAGGCGGGAACGAGCAGTGCCTTCCTGAGCACCAGATCGAGGCTGAGCACCTGGTGTGGGGAGGGGGCTACAGGCAGAGAGACCCACGGCAGCTGTCACCCCCAGCACAGCCTCTGACAGCGTCTCCCAGGGGAATATTACCAAGTGCCCTCTATCAGCGCTGCATGTCTTTGGATCAAACCGCTGTCCTCAGGGGTCTCACAGGCTGGCAGAAAAGATGAAATAAAGGGACAGGAGGTGGAGTACGTTATGGGCTGTCCTTCCAGCTGGTGGGGGTGGGAGGGGAGGGAGGGTTTGGGTATAGGTAGGGTTTGCACATGCTGGGATGGGGGAAAGGGTGTCACCACTGGGGAAGGGTATGAGGCATGACTAGCCAGGTCATGGAAGGACCCAGAGAGAGGCAGCCGGCCTGATGGGCAGGCACCAGGTTGGGAATTGCATCTGATACCAGGAATTTGAACTTGAGTGATGGGGAGCCAGTGAAGGCGGCTGGCAGGGGAGAGCCAGGACAGCAGCTGGCCTCGGGCGGCCGGCTTATCGCTGTCCCCTCCCCAGCCAGCCAGGACTTCCAGCTCAGGAGGGCCCTCCCAGCCCCTCTCAGGGGGAGCAGTGTGGGCCTCACCTCGCCTGCCAGGGACCTGAGCCAAGAGCCCTCAGCAGCTCGGAAGGGGGCCGTGTGCAGGCCCGCCGGGGCCCTGGAAGAGGAATGCAGCCTAATTAATTCTCCGAAGCTCAAGGGCCTCGCCTTGTGGGAGCAGCTGCCAGGACAGGCCTGCCAGGATGCCACCGGCCCAGCCTGTCGATCACTCAGTGCTGAAGACGGTGAGGGGGACAGCAGGAGGGCGCGGAGGAACGGGGGCTCCGGGGCCAGCCCCTTGCCGCCAGGCACGCACGTGTCCTCCGGCCCCTTTGTAGGTAATGATACAATAACAGGAATAGTAATAGCCCACAGGCCTTAAGGGCTCACCATGTGCCAGGCTCTGTGCTAAAAGCATGTTGTATTCACTTATCTGATTGCTGGAAAGACCA